GGCATTTTAATTATGATGTGTCTTGGTGTGGTCCTCTTTGGATTCCTTTTGTTTGGGGTTCTCTGTGCTTCCTGGACTTGTAAGTCTATTTCTTTCACCAGGCAGGGGAAGTTTTCTGTCATGATTTCTTCAAATAGGTTTTCAATATCTTGCTCTCTCTTCTTCTGGCACCTCTATAATTTGGATGTTGGTACGCTTGAAGTTGTCCCAGAGGCTCCTTACACTATCTTCATATATTTGGATTCTTTTTTCTTTTTGTTTTTCCAGTTGGGTGTTTTTTGCTTCTTCGTATTTCAAATCTTTGACTTGATTCTTGGGATCCTCTGGTCTGCTGTTGGATCTCTGTATGATATTCTTTATTTCAGTCAGTGTATGCTTAATTTCTAGTGGGTCCTTTTTCATATCCTTGAGGGTCTCACTAAATTTATCGGCGGTTTCTAGAAAATTCTTGAAAAACTTTATAACCTTGGTGTTGAACTCTATATCCAGTAGTTTGCTTTCCTCCATTTCTGTCATTTGTGATCTGTTTCTTTTTCTCCACATTTTGGCTGCTTCCCTGGATTGATAGAGTGGTTTTGTGTGCTAGGTGTCCTATAGGGCCCAGTGGTTCAGCCTCCCCAATTACCTGAGGTGGACACTCTTGGTGCACCCCTTTGTGGGCTTTGTGCACAGTCTTGTTGTAGTTAAGCCTTGATTGTTGTAGGTAACACTGGGAAGAATTGACCTCCAGGCCAATTGGCTGTGAGAATCAGCTTTGTCTATGGTGGGAGAACTTCTGTGCTGGAGACACCCTTCTGGGGCAAGACTTGCTTCAGTGGGGCTTTGGTCCTCACTGAGTCTGCCCCCTGAGTGTGTCCCTTATGGATCTGAGGAGTTGTAATCTGGATGGTCCCAATCTGACCACTGGGTACACTGGCTCTTGGATCTCTAAGGAGGTGCTAATTTAGCCTCTGCCTGAGGCTACCCAGCAGGAGTTATGGAGAGATCTGCAGATTCCTCTTCCTTGTTTGGGGTTTGGAGGTGCCCAAATGAGGCCCAGCTGTGAAGCAATGCAAGCTGCGGTGGGGCCTTGGGCCTTCTTTTGGATGTTCTGGGTCTCTCTAACCCAGCTGCAGTTTGTTAGGTAATTTTCAGATTGCAAAGGGCCAGCCCATTCATATGCAAAAGCCTCTGCTAGCAGCTTGGGTGGGGCAGGGTCTCAGGAAATCAACAGGGCGGAGCAAACAGCTATGGCTGATCCGCAGCCCTGCCCTAAGAGGCCCCCGGGTCTCAGTGTCTCGTCTCAGTGTCCCGCAGTAATCTCTGCAAGCACCTCTGAGAGAAAGCCACCCTCGAGTTCTGCCCGCTGCCAGACAGTCCAATTTCTCCCCGTATGGGTCTGGGTCCCCAGAGACTCATCCAGAACTGGAGTTCAGAGCCATCGGGAGCTTGTGACTCCCTCCCGATTGAAAAAGACACTGGCATCCTCCATTGCCAGCTCTTTCCGCATGCGCCTCAGTACCTCTGCACTTTACTTCCACACCTCCACTGAGTCTCAGTGTGCTTTTCTCTTTCCTTCTAGTTGTAGAATTTCCACTCAGCCAGCCTTCCTGTGGTTCTGGATGATGTCCATTTTGTCTTTTAGTTGTAATTTGAAGTCCCTTTTCTGATTCATGATTTGGTGACCTGCCTTCAACAGCGCTGCCCACCCCAGCACGCACAGATTTCCCCTGTACTCCTTCGGGGTGGCCCACAGTTTAAGCTCTTGTGTTTCAGTCTCTGATCCATTTTAAGTTAATGTTTGTATATAGTGTGGGGTAGAGGTTGAAATTCACCTTTTCTTCTATGGCATCCATTTGTTTCAGCATCTTGTTGAAAAGACTGTCCTTCCTACATTAAATCACCTTGGCACCTCGTTCTGGACCCTCTTTCCTATTCCATTGGCCAATAGGTCTATCATTACACCAATATCACACGCTCTGATTATTACACCTTATAGTAAGTCTTGATTCGGATGGTATATGTCTTTCAACTTTGTTCTTCTTTTCCAAAGTGTTTTTTTTTATTTTAGTTATTTTTGCTTTTCCATATGAATTTTAGAATCAGCTTATTGATTTCTGCAAAAAGTCTGCTGGGATTTTGATTAAGATTCATTAATTTGGGGTTAATTGACATGTTAACAATATTGAGGCTGCTGACCCATGAACGTGGTGTATCTTGCCATTTATTTAGGTTTTCTTTAATATACATAATTTTAAAAAATAACCACTAAGGGTGCCAAGACAATTACGTGGGGAAAGAATAGTCTTGGTGTTAGGACAAGTGGATATCCGCATGCAAAATACTGAAGTTGAACCCCTACCTCACACCACATACAAAAATTAATTCGAACTGGACCAAAGACCTAAACATAAGAGCTAAAATCTTAAAACTCTTAGATTAGATAATAGGAATAAGTCTTTATGACTTTGGATTAGGCCATCGATTCTTAAAACAGTATCAAAGCACAAGCAACAAAAGAAACATAGACAAATTGATTTTCATCAAATATAAAAAGTTTTGTGCTTCAAAGGACACTGTCAAGAAAGTGAAAAGATAACCCACAGAATAGAACATTTTTGCAAATCCTACATCTGATAAGGAACTTCTATGGAAAATATAAATAACTCTTAGAACTTAGCAATAAAAAAGACAAAGAGACCAATTAAAGTACATGAGCAAAGGATCACAATACATATTTCTCCTAAGATTTATTGGCCCTTTAATGACTATATTGGCCAATAACACATGAAAAGATGGTCAACAACATGAGTCATCAGAAAAATGCAAATAAAGAACAGAACAAGCACCACTTCACACCCACTGGGATGGCTGTAGTAACTTTTTTAATGGCCAATGGCAAAGCTGGAAGAAGAGGTGGAGGAATTGGAACCCTCATGCACTTGTGGGAGCTCTGCGAAAGGTTAGGCAGAGAGAGACTCCCATCTGATCCAGGGGGCATGTCCACTCCGGGGTATAGACCCAAGAGAATGAAAACATGTCCACACCAAAACTTGAACACATATGTTTATAGTAGCATAATAGCCAACTGTCCACTACTTGATGAATGGATAAATAAAATGTGACCTATCCGTAATAGGGAATATTATTTGACAATTAAAAAACGCTGCTACAGGCTACAACATGGGTGAGCCTTGAAAACATTATGAGAAGTGGAAGAAACCAGTCACAAAGGGCTACAGAATATATGGTTGCATTCATATGAAATGTCCAGAATGGGTAAATCTACAGAAACAGAAAATACATTAGTGGTTGCCTGGGGTTGGGGAGGGTGGAGGGAGGGATAAGAGTTTCTTTTGGGGGAAGACAAAAATGGTTTAAAACTTGTTGTGGTGATTGATGGTGAACAATTCTGTGGATATACTAAAATCCACTGAATTCTATGCTTTAAATGGATGAATTCTATGATATGTGAACTACATTTTAATAAAGCTGTTATTTTAAAAAGGGATTTTTTAAAAATCCTCATCCAAGGATATGTTTTTATTGTTTTTAGAGAGAGGAAGGGGGAGGAAGAAACATTGCTGGGAGAGAGGAACATTGATCGGTTGCCTCTCGTAGATGCCCCAACGGGGAATGGGACCCACAGCCTTTTTGGTGCACAGGACACGCTCCAACGAACTGAGCCACCAGCCAGGGCAAAAGGGGATTTTTTAATATGGGTTGGGGGGGCGGGGGGGCGGAGCTTTTGCAAACCCAGTGCAGCTCCTGGCCGTCCACATGCAACCTGTCGTCCGGAGGCTCAGAACTGACCTAATGAATAGCACTCAGGTGCGTGTGGTCAGAATAGCTGGTGACACCCGCCGCTTCCCAGCTCCCTTCCGCCAGGGGCTGAGTCCAATCTCAGGGACATTTGTCTCTGACAGTGAGTGGACGTTTTCTCTTAGAAGAAAACGGAAACGGGCGCACACACCACTCATCGTTTCTGAACTTGCTGCCAGAAACGCTGGCCGCGCGGGCCGGGATGTCCGCAGCCCTCTGGGACGGTTCGGGGCACGCGGCTCTCCCTGCCTCAGGTTAGGGACTCCATCTCCACTGAGCGGCTTTGGGTCGGTTTAAGCTGTAAACAGATTTAAACAACTCTCTGCACAAGCTGTGTATACACTCCAAACACAGACCATCTATCACCTTGGAGGTGAAAGCTGGCCTTGTAGCACTTATTGATTCTTACTTAGCTCCTCTCCCAGGGGCCAAACCAGTTAGGAGGCCAGCCCGGCCGCTACCAGCCTCTGCGTGCCTGTCATTGTCGCCGTCTTTGCTGTCTGCTCTGCTATTGGTTGCTGAATAGTGTGCTTGTTTTTCACATAAGTGTATCTCGTCATAAACAGAAGATCCCATTAAAAATAGACCCAAGGAAAACAGCATGTTGTTCATTCTAACCAGATGCTGTTGCCTGATGAGCCGTGAGCCTGAGGCTCCTGGTTAAGCGGGGCCATCGGCAGGGGCTTAGAGGGTGCGGAGGGCCTGACGGAGTGGCTTCGTGAATGTGGAGGAGTGGGCATCAGAGGAGCCTCAGGGACAGAAGCTGTCACAGGGGCGAAAGGGGAATTTCTTTTTCCTTAAGATTCTAATAGTTGCAAATGACAGACACCCAATTTGGACCAGCAAAAGCAAGAGAGAAAATGTATTGGTTCCCATATCTGATGGAATGGCTGGATCCAGGTGTTAAATGGTGTCAGAAATCTCTCTCCATCCTGTGGCTCCTGTGTGTTCGCTTTACTCTAGGGTCGTCTCCCCACTGGCGGTGCCAAGTACCACCGACGTAGTCATCTTAGCTGGAAGGGCGTCCCTTCCGCAGTTATTCCAGCATAAAGTCACAGAAGTGAGTCCCAGGAGTCCAAGCTGGGGTGGACGTCAATCTGGCCACTCACCCAGCTTTGGCTGGGGGAGGGCAGTTCACCTGCGGGGACGCCAGAGCAAGGGGAGAGGATGCTGGAGCAGGCACCTGGCTGCCCACCGCCATGCCCCAACCTCAGGGGCTCTCAGAGGGGGGCGAGGGGCATTTCAGCCAGGGAGTCGACGGCTTCATGAAGGGGGCGGCCTGCAGCCACTGGGCGCGGGGCCCGGGCGCTCCTGCCGCAGGTGCCCCTCGGTATCTGTACCGAGGAGGAGGAGGAGGAGGACACAAGCTCCCCCTGCCCGCTCCCAGGTCTTGGTTAATCTCCCTAAGAAGCAGCCTCCCCACGCAGCTGGGAAACAATCAGAAAGGTTAGGCAGGCCTCAGCCACCCGTGCCCACACCCTGCTCGGACCGCCCCCCCCTTCCACCCCGGTCCGCAGGCAGCCCAGCGCGCTTTTCAGACAGCAGATTTGAGGGCATCACGTCTCCAAAGGTTCAGCTCTCTTGGGCTTGAAACCCAAATCCTTAGATGGCCCACAGGGCCCTGCTCCCCTTCCAGGCTCCTTTGCTCCTGCTGTCCCCTACCCTCTGACTCTGCTTCCCCCAGGGAACCCTGCTGTGACCTCCTCCAGGTACCCTCAGCCGGGGGTGTGTGAGCAGCTGTAATAACAGCAGCTGGCACTTAAGAGCCAGACAGTGATCCACATTCCATGTTTTCATTGTCTGCACAACAAGCCTCTGAGGAAGAGGATATTATTGTTCCCATTGTACAGATGAGGCAACTGAGGCACTGAGCAATGATTTACTCAAAGTCACAGCTGGAAAGTGGCAGAGCCAAATTCAAAGCCAGACATTTCAGCTCTAGAGTCTTCATTCTTGTAATCCTCACCTGAGGATTTTCCCCCCATTGATTTTTGGAGAGAGTGGAAAAGGGAGGAGAGAAAAAGAGAGAGAGAGAGAGAGAGAGAGAGAGAGAGAGAGAGAGGGAGAGAGAGAGAGAGATTCGTTGCCTCCCACACAAGCCCTGACTGGGGACAGGGATCAACCTGCAACCAAGGAATTGAACCTGCAACCCTTTGGTCGGCCCCAGCCACTGAACCAAACCGGCCAGGGCCAGAGTGGTCCTGGTTCTTAACCGCCACCCTTCCTGCCTCTGGGAGCTCAGAGCTCAGGCTCCCCATCCTGATCGCATCCTGTAACCAGGCATTTCTGATGGACTGTTTCCTCAGCGTTCGCCCCACTTGCTAACAGCTTGTGATGGTAGCTAACCACACGGAGCTCTTAGCCTGCGCCAGGCCCTGTGCTGAGCACTCTTTCATGGATCCCCTACTTCACTCTCTGGGAGGCCTCTAAACTAGGCTCTGTTACCCCCCTTATACAGACAGAGAGCCCGAGGCTGGCGGGTTAAAGTGAATTTGGCTGCCAGGCTGGACACT